AGTGTGTGTGACTGCAGTTTATCCAGTCATAAAGAAGCAAATGCTTAGTCATGGAAGGACAAAGTAACCCTTTATTGAGAGTGTCATATTGTTCTGGTGCCAGTGAGTGTAATGTTACATTTGTTCTCAATAGAGCACTTAACTTTCTCTGTCTATATAATAACTGTAGAGCTGCATTTAATTTTTGGTCTCTCTTCAGGTTCCAGATGGTGGTCTGAAAAAATGTAGCTGACTGACCATAAAGGAAATGGTTCACACAAAATGAAATTTCTGGCACATATTAGGGTGTGCTCACACTTGGCATGTTGGGTTCAATTAAAATGAACTCTGGTGTGATTGCTTTGTTAGTGCGGTTCATTTGAATAAGTGTGAACGCTGCCATCCGAACCCTGGTGTGCACCAAACCAGAACTCTAGTGCAGTTTGACTGAAATGTAAACGCAACACGGACTAAATACATCTAAATGAAGCAAAAACAGGACGTGATGTCACAAGATGACTCTAAAAAGGACAGAATGCTCAAGGAATACCTGTTTTTTCCTGTCACAGGAGCTACATTGCCCATTACAGTTCGTAATAGGCATAGGACACTCTGTCTCCTTGCAGCTAATCTTTCTTTGTGTGCGGATTCCTTGCACTGTTTTGAATCCTTTACACATTTTATAAGCTCTTCTCGAGTTCTCAGCAGGTAAAAAAATACCATCATATGTACGCAGTACGCACAGCATTGTTTTTTGTATAGGTTTGGACAGTTCGGTCTTAAAAATGACAGTCTGCTCTGAACACTAAGTGAACCAGGAGGACTAAATGTATCATTTTCTTTTTTGGTCTGAACTAAAAGAACCAAAGGAACTGAACTACAAGTGTTAACAAACCCTTACTCACCTTCACAGACATCCCACCTCTCCCAGAAGTTCCCGATGTCTCTTGCATATTGATAGCATCTCCCAGATGCCCTCAAATTATCTATAATACCACTAATGAGTTATTGCAGGGTGTAATATCTGCCTTCATGTCGTTCTGTATGACTTTCTTTCCTCGATGGAACACAGAAGGTGAATGTTTTAAGAATATATCTTGTCTGCTCTTTTCTATTAGCCTGGGAAAACCCAGACAACCTCCGGCAAATTTAGATTTGCTCTGAAAGTTAGTCTGGCAAAGAGCTCATTCAAGCTCATTTCCAATCCGCCGAAATCGCGGCACCAATCAGAAACGTTGGGGCGGGCTTTACACGATGACGACAGCGCTGGGATTTTGAAGTAGATTTTGTAGCCTACATTACAAAGATGGATGCCGCCGTCGAACATCACTCGTTCGACTCAGCTATCCCGTCTGTTTTAAGCGATTTGAACGTTTCCTTTTAGTTAAAAGCCGAGCAAAGAACAACACTCGGAGATGTTTCTGCCGCTCTGCATACGTCATCTCCTTCATCGCTCTGATTGGTTTTAGGTCTATCCGCGACGTCCGTTGGTGACGCCCCTCTGGAAATGATTTGTCTATGACGCTTTGCCAGACCATAACTCAGTTACAACTGAGAATGGTCTGGTTTTAACCAGGCTACTTTTCTATACAATATAAGATAGGCTATATCAGGCTGTACTTGTAAATTATTATTTTAAGGATAACTTTAAATGTATAAAGCAGCTAAATGTTTTCTTAAGTTGGATCAAACTCATAAGGTTGAGAGATTATCCATATCCAGATCATAATGGAGATGTCACCTGCTGAGCTTTATCTTCTCTGCAGTGCTCAGATTTACTGTTCTGTTCACTGTGGTCACGCTTAATAGCCTACAAGACCTTTTGAGGATATGGTTAGATTGTTGTAATTAGTTGTGTAATGAAATTACTTTCTTGGTCATACATTAGAAGACTGATAGTTCACGCTTACAGGGTAACTGAATTAGCTGGAGACAATTTATATATATATATATATATATAGTATACACACACACATACAGTCACAGTACCGTTCAAATGTTTGTGGTCAGTATAATTTTTTAAGAAATTGTATTCAGCAGAATGCATTAAATTGATAAAAAATGATAGTAAAGTCATTTATAACGTTAAAAAGATTTATATTTTAAATATATTATGTTCTTTAGAAATGCTGTTCTTTCTATTCACCAATAACCCTGAAGAAACTATATCACTGTTTCTACGAATATATTAAGCAGCACAACTGTTGTCAACATTGCTAATAATAATAAATGTTTCTTGAGCATCAAATCAGCATATTGGAATGATTTCTGAAGGATCATGTGACACTGAAGACTGTAGTAATGATGTTGAAAATTCAGCTTTGCCATCATAAAAATAAATTACATTTTTAAATATATTAATATAGAAATTATTTTAAATTGTTATATTTCATAATATTACCGTTTTACTGTTTTTCTTTATCAAATAAATGCAGCTTTAGTGAGCAAAAGAGACTTTTTTCAAAAACATTTCCTATTGGTTTATTTGTGTTGTGACTTGCTTGCCTGCTAAACTTCCATCGTAAGTGCATTACTTTTCGTTTTTACAAACAATTTTGTTAACCCTTGTTTTTCATTAGGAAAGTTACCCTTTCCACTAGAAATGTTCCTTTAAATCCTGGTATATAGCTACAGGATGTTGTTGCCCATAACAATGAAATAACAAGGGAAATGACCAGGGATAAAAAAAAAAAAAAAGCTCTGAAGAGTCTCGAGTCTCGACCTGGCGAGTCTGTCTGTCCCTGGACCGCAGTGGGCAGTCCAATTTTGGTGTACCAATGTCCAAACATAGCTGCAAGAAAATGAGAGAATGGCCGCAGAGGGAAATCATTTATCACATGAGCGGGACAGAACTACTACTTTCATCACCACAGGTTCTTGATCAGTGTGCTGCAGCTGTCCAAATGCTCATTATTTCTCTGCCTCAGCATGCCTTGTGTTCGCTGTAGGAGGAGGTACATGAACACAATCAGACATCAGTCTACAGACTGGGTTAGGTTTCCTGTCAGGTTTTCTCTGGCCACTCGGCCACAATCAGTATAGAAATGACTGTTTTTGTAATTCAAATTTTGTGTTCCTTTTTCATATTTAAAATGGCAGGATTTTCATCTGGTTAAAGCTAACATTATATCTCAATGGTAGAGCAAACAAGAGAAATGATGGGTCTTCAACATGGGGTCCGCTATGGTCTGCTAACTATTGTTTGATATCCGTCATTTTTGGAAAAGATTTAAATATGGGCAAAACAAACAATATTAACTTAAACCAAAGCTAAAGTATTAAAATGTATTAAAACGTATTCACTAACCTTTAAAATTTGAAGGTTGGTATTTTTAAAATGTTTTTTGAAAGAATTCTCGTATGCTCACCAAGGCTGCGTTTATTTAATCAAAAACAGTAAAAAATAGTAATATACACTCACACTGTATATATGACACAACAGTCATTGTATTAATATTTCATAATATTAATACAATTTAAAATAACAGTGTCCTATTTGAATTTATTTTAAAAGATTATTTATCCCTTTAGAAAACATTAAAACATTTTGCGTATATACCATAATACATTTTTGAAAGGATTTTTTGATGAATAGAAATAAAAAAGCATTTATTTGAAATAAAAATCTATAAAATGTCTACTGTTTTACTGTCACCAAACAGTAGTGTACATATGACTCATAGATAATGGTTATTTTAATAACTTCACAATTTCTAATAATGTAAATACATTACTTAGTACTATGATAATTCTACAATATGCATCAATATCCACCTATCTTTTGAGAAAACATGAGCTGTCATGAATGTTGAAGGATTTGTTTTAAATTGTGGCCTTAAGCTTTCATTAATCACAATTGAAGGGCTTCTTTAAAAACTCCACAGATTTTTTTTGGTTACATTTGGGTATGTGTGTTTGGGAGGGGGTGTGTTTGTATTGGTCACTGTGACTGTTAGGACACACATCTGTTAGTCACCAGCTGAAACAGAGCACATGAATGCAGAATGAATGGCAAAGCCTGTTGGTCATGTTCAATGAATGCACTGAATCCACTTTCCGTGACTAACAAATTAAATTAGTAAAATACAATATATTCATATTTATTTGCCTTTTTTGTCCACGATAACAAGTTAATTGCTCTTGAGTCAGCCTGCCTGTATTCCATTCACTTGCATAATTTCCTTTTGCATCCAGAGAGACACACGTCTGATCAGGGAGGGAGAAGGGCATCAGTCAGGACACAAGTTCAAAGTGTCTAAAAGAGTAAAGCAAAGAGTTCACATACAGGAAATGCATGTTTCCCAGGAGTTCAGATTTGGTTTCTATCTTTTAAAATCAGAAACAAATAGATAGAGGAAAGGAAACAGGATTCGTTGACACCTTGTTGTTTACGGTCATGCATCAAAATATTTTAAGAGATTTCCAGGAGCGGAGACCCTCAGGGGCATGTCCTGTTTCACAGCGGTTTTGATTTTTGAAATAATATCCACAAGATGACAATGAAGTGCGGTCTAGGGGTTCTCCCCATCCTGTGCTGCGGTTTCTAGGAAACTGCATGTCAAGGGTCTGTCGTGGTATGTTAAGTTGTGTACCCATTAACCGTCTCATTTAGCCACCCCATGGTGTCTTGTCTGAGGAGTTTTTGTCTAATGTTCATTAAGTTTATTAGTTAGTTGAATTACTTTTAATCAATATAATTTTAATGTTTAAATATGTCCGCAACCGTATAAGCTGCTTTTCTGTTACTAAATTTGGTGTTACAGGGAATATCTCTGACATTTTCCCCACCTGTCGGCCCATCTAAGCATTGGAAATTCCTTCAAGTCTTTGCATCTCCTGTGTTGTCATGGTTACAGTGTGATTATGGGATTCCCAATGTTTGGTTTTGCTCCTCGGATGGGTGTGCCCAGTGATGTGATTGCTTTGGAATTCTAAGATCATGAATCATAAATGAATCACAGACCTTTTTAGCCGTGTTTTATAATCACCGTATTCTCTTCTCTTAATCTCTGTCTCTCCAGGCTTTGGACCAGGACCGCACAGCTTTACAAAAGGTCAAGAAATCCGTCAAAGCAATCTACAACTCGGGTCAAGGTGAGTTTTGACCCAGCTGACTGAGGGTCTTCAAAAGTGAAGTTCTGGGAATAAAAAAATATGGCCTTAATCTTTGATAAAATGTGTGGCTGTAAAAATGTTATTTTCCATTTCATAATTGAAAGAAATGGGTTTAATTGGCACATTCATGGCGAAGTACCAATCTAACCCACAATCCTGAAGTAAGAAGTCGCTGTTACCATGGAAACGGGAATTGCCATTGCACTTCCTTCCTATCGTCTCTTCCCCCATTCTGTCTTGGCAAGCTCAAATGCTTACTTGCCCTCTAGGGTAAATCAGCATGAAAGGTCAGAAAAACCTCCAGACCATGTAACTAACATCTCATGAGTGTGACACAGTGGTTTCTGGCTCATGCAGTCGCATTATCAGCTTGTAAGTGTTCAATGTCATACCACTCCTATTTGCCAAGCTCACAGTCCAGATGCCAAATATCAATGGCTGTTTGATCAGGGCTTCATAATGCCTAATGTTTACACTCAGGCTTCTCTTGTGGACCTGAAATAGACAAAGACAGTTTGTATAAAATGTTTAAATTCAAGCCAAGGACTCTTTGGCCAGAAACATGTTCAAAAGGTCAAATTGATCTACTGATGAAACATCAAAAGGAGTCTATTAGTTTGTATAGAAAGTTAAATATCGAGGACTCTTTGGCCAGAAATGCCTTCAATAGGTCACATATGGTCTAGTCTATGGTTTGTCATTCTCTTTTCGAAATCTTTCATCCTCCTGCCTTAATTCCTGATTTGACTTCTGCAGATGTTGCTCGAACTTTCTGGTCTCCCATAATTTTTCATCCATGGAAGATTGTACCTAAAACACAATAAAATAGATATTGTCATTAACACAACAGTACAATTGACAGCTTGCATGTTGGCAAGGGATCAGGGCTGGAGATTGAGAAACGAACAGTGTTTTAATATAAGCATATTTAGGACTCTAAAACAGGGCAGAAATCTGTGTTTTGCTGCTGTGTGACCTAGAGATGGGTCACAATGGTCGACTACATGATGATAAAAGCATAAAAAGACTATAAAAGATGATAAAAGATTTCAAAGCACAGCTACAGCCATACACATCCAGATGGATGTCTTTGGCAGTTGTCATATCTTGTGCTGTTTTATCAGCAACATGCTATGAGTTTTTATTTTTATCAAACGGTCAAACTTTTAATGCTTTGAACTAGTCTTAAGAAATGTATTTGATTGGAGTTAAAACCAGACTAATTATACAGTTATAAGAAATTAATGAGAAATTCCAGAAATAATGATGATGATTATTATTAACAATTTTATTTGTATATTTTATTCATCAGTTTATATACATTTTATATATATATATATATATATATACACTCACCGGCCACTTTATTAGGTACCCCATGCTAGTAACGGGTTGGACCCCCTTTTGCCTTCAGAACTGCCTCAATTCTTCGTGGCATAGATTCAACAAGGTGCTGGAAGCATTCCTCAGGGAGTTTGGTCCATATTGACATGATGGCATCACACAGTTGCCGCAGATTTGTCGGCTGCACATCCATGATGCGAATCTCCCGTTCCACCACATCCCAAAGATGCTCTATTGGGTTGAGATCTGGTGACTGTGGAGGCCATTTTAGTACAGTGAACTCATTGTCATGTTCAAGAAACCAATTTGAAATGATTAGAGCTTTGTGACATGGTGGAAGTAGCCATCAGAGGATGGGTACATGGTGGCCATAAAGGGATGGACATGGTCAGAAACAATGCTCAGGTAGGCCGTGGCATTTAAACGATGCCCAATTGGCACTAAGGGGCCTAAAGTGTGCCAGGAAAACATCCCCCACACCATTACACCACCACCACCAGCCTGCACAGTGGTAACAAGGCATGATGGTTCCATGTTCTCATTCTGTTTACGCCAAATTCTGACTCTAACATCTGAATGTCTCAACAGAAATCGAGACTCATCAGACCAGGCAACATTTTTCCAGTCTTCAACTGTTCAATTTTGGTGAGCTCTTGCAAATTGTAGCCTCTTTTTCCTATTTGTAGTGGAGATGAGTGGTACCCGGTGGAGTCTTCTGCTGTTGTAGCCCATCCGCCTCAAGGTTGTGCGTGTTGTGGCTTCACAAATGCTTTGCTGCATACCTCGGTTGTAACGAGTGGTTATTTCAGTCACTGTTGCCCTTCTATCAGCTCGAACCAGTCTGGCCATTCTCCTCTGACCTCTGGCATCAACAAGGCATTTCCGCCCACAGAACTGCCGCTCACTGGATGTTTTTTCTTTTTCGGACCATTCTCTGTAAACCCTAGAGATGGTTGTGTGTGAAAATCCCAGTAGATTAGCAGTTTCTGAAATACTCAGACCAGCCCTTCTGGCACCAACAATCATGCCACGTTCAAAGTCACTCAAATCACCTTTCTTCCCCATACTGATGCTCGGTTTGAACTGCAGGAGATTGTCTTGACCATGTCTACATGCCTAAATGCACGTAGTTGCCGCCATGTGATTGGCTGCTTAGAAATTAAGTGTTAACGAGCAGTTGGACAGGTGTACCTAATAAAGTGGCCGGTGAGTGTATATGCGTAACTAATAATAGTTTTACAGTTGCATTATTAATAATAATTTTATTTGTATATTACCTTTCATGCATAACATGCAGCTCAAAGACTACATTCACACTGTCAGTTTTTGGGATTGACAACCACATTTACCTACAGGTGTGAGTCTCAATGTCCCATTCAAACAGCAACTTACAGTAGCGCGTCAAATATATTATTTATATTAGTATAATATAAGTATTAGAACATATTAGAACATATTACTCCTGTGTTAATCAAACTGCATTGGTTACCCATACTCATTCCGAATTCATTAAAAAGTGTTGTATGTTTTTAAGGCTCTGCCTGGCCTAGAACCAGAGTATGTTACTGATTTAATCAGTCTTTCTCAATCCAGTAGATCTCTGCGCTCAAATGATCAATTGCTCCTCATGGTTCCCCGATCTCGTTTAAAATGTAAAGGTGATCGGGCATTCTCTGTTGCAGCTCCTAGGCTCTGGAATGACCTTCCTCTGTCTGTTAAATCTTCTTCTACATTGAGTGCATTTCAGAGTGCGCTTAACTTATCTGTTTGCTTTAGCATTTGAAAATGCTTTGTAAGCAGTGTATGTCATATGTTTGGATTGTTTTTATGGTTTATTTTTTATTTGATCTTTTTCTGTACAGCACTTTGGTTCCACTTGTGGTGTTGAAAGTGCTCTATAAATAAAGTTGAGTTGAGAATATTGTCTGTACTGTATGAACATGCAATGGAATTCAAGCCTGTTTTCTTTTACCAGTAACCATAGCGTTAGTGACAAAAGTAATAGCAAAGATGGTGACTTTTAATAATAAAACTGTTGTCACTTTTGATACTACAAGAGTCCAATCGAGCCGCGAGTTCAGACATCAAATCTTTATTAATTGACAGCAGCTTTTATATCTGGAAGGAGAGCGGAGCATTTGATGTCGCGCTGCTCGCACATAGAATACAAAACTGACGGTGGAGAACAGTGACTGGATCTAAAACCTTCAGATGACACACCGTTCACATCTTTGTCGATGTAAGTGACCGAAAGCAAAACCACACCTGAAAATCTAAACACGGTAGACACGTGCTTTTGCAGCGCAGAGCGGCTCTCTCACACTGTATGACGTAACAGACAACTAGTTGTCCAGTCCGGTTCCATTCACACAGCGCAGAGAATGTAGTTGTCATTCCAGTAAATTACTGAAATGTGTGTAAATGTAACCATAACAAGTATTTAATAACCTTAAATACAGGACTAAAAACCATAATCTGTTGCTGTGTGAAGATGGCCAAAGTCTCAAAGTGCTTCACAATATAATTCGAGAAAAAAAAGAAAAAAACACTTTAGAAAGGAACATTTTTTTTAATCACTTTTGTGTTATTTCAAGTAATAAAAATGTCTCTCCAATCTTTTGAGTGGAAGTTTATGCATTTGGGAGAGATTCATAAGCTCATAACAAAGACATAAACGGTCAGAAATGAGAAACTAATTTTTTTTTGTTCCATGGGTTGTTTACACAATACCCTGAATGAGCACTTTTATTACACTGAGATTCCCACAGATTGCTCCTCTGAGTTCATAACGGCTGCAGTAAACCTTCCCATCTGTTTGTTTAGAGAAGGTGACAGCCCCCTTATTTCAGGTTACCAGCTCGCTTAGTTCCACTCAACAAGTCAAATGTACCTTTTGCTCACATTGTCATTATATGAACGTCATACCTGATTGTTATACTAATAATAGGGCATGGCTGTGACTACATGTGGCGATTTAAGTGATGTGATACAATATGTAAGACGACTTCTTGTGAGCTGCAGAGCTTGATCAGATTGATTTGGCTGACCTCTCTCTGACCTCAGTATTCCTCAGAGAGCACACGGCCTCTACGCCTCTTCAGCAATACAGGGACATCTCCATCATGATTCAGCAAATAGCAGCAGAAATGTCACCTTTTCAGTTTGTGAACGAAAGCAGCCGCTCATGTTGCACATCACTCTGCTCGGTGATGCTGTCTTTCTGAAGTGTGCAGTGTATCGTACTGTGTGCAGCAGGCAGAGGATGTAAACTGGCTCCCGCTGTGTTATCCACTCTCTGCTGTGTGTGTTGCAGGTGGCCTCAGTGTCATGATCCTGTTTAATCAGTGACTGTATAGTAAGCACTCTAATCAGCTCCAGATGATTAATACCTGAGCTCTTGACACTTGGCATGGGGCGTTTGTTCTCTGTTGAATTTCAGAGGTCTGCTCATGTCACTTTGCTCACAGTCTTGTTTAGATCTGTCTGCAACCTTTTAATCCATTTGTGACATGGTATGATGATCTACTTATCTTCTCTGCTGACATCAGTGGACCATGTTCACCTGTGTTTACCCTAAAAGTCTAGAGTAAGAGTTTGGTTATCATGACCTTTTTTATATATATTATGATATGACTGGGACTCCATGTGGCGATAGTCTTTTTTGCTTTTATAGTCTTTTTTTGCATCTACACTGAACAAAATTATAAACGCAACACTTTTGTTTTTGCCCCCATTTTTCATGAGCTGAATTCAAAGACTTTTTCTATTTACACAAAAGGCCTATTTCTCTCAAATATTGTTCACAAATCTGTTTAAATCTGTGTTAGTGAGCACTTCTCCTTTGCCGAGATAATCCATCCACCTCACAGGTGTGGCATATCAAGATGCTGATTAGACAGCATGATTATTGCACAGGTGTGCCTTAGGCTGGCCACAATAAAAGGCCACTCTAAAATGTGCAGCTTTATCACACAGCACAATGCCACAGATGTTGCAAGTTTTGAGGGAGCGTGCAATTGGCATGCTGACTGCAGGAATGTCCACCAGAGCTGTTGCCCGTGAATTGAATGTTAATTTCTCTACCATAAGCCGTCTCCAAAGGCGTTTCAGAGAATATGGCAGTACATCCAACTGGCCTCACAACCGCAGACCACGTGTAACCACACCAGCCCAGGACCTCCACATCCAGCATCTTCACCTCCAAGATCGTTTGAGACCAGCCACCCGGACAGCTGCTGCAACAATCGGTTTGCTTAACCAAACAATTTCTGCACAAACTGTCAGAAACCATCTCAGGGCAGCTCATCTGCATGCTTGTCGTCCTCATCGGGGTCTCGATCTGACTGCAGTTTGTCGTCCTAACCGACTTGAGTGGGCAAATGCTCACATTCGATGGCGTCTGGCACTTTGGAGAGGTGTTCTCTTTACGGATGAATCCTGGTTTTCACTGTACTGGGCAGATGGCAGACAGCGCGTGTATGGCGCCGTGTGGGTGAGCGGTTTGCTAATGTCAACGTTGTGGAACGAGTGGCCCATGGTGGCGGTGGGGTTATGGTATGGGCAGGAGTATGTTATGGACAACGAACACAGGTGAATGTATTGATGGCATTTTGAATGCACAGAGATACCGTGACGAGATCCTGAAGCCCATTGTTGTGCCATTCATCTACAACCATTACCTCATGTTGCAGCATGATAATGCACGGCCCCATGTTGCAAGGATCTTTACACAGCATACTCACCGGACATGTCACCCATTGAGCATGTTTGGGATGCTCTGGACCGACGTATAAGACAGCATGCTCCAGGTCCTGCCAATATCCAGCAACTTCGCACAGCCATTGAAGAGGAGTGGACCAACATTCCACAGGCCACAATCAACCTGATCAATTCTATGCGACGGAGATGTGTTGCACTGCGTGAGGCAAATACTGGTCAGACCAGATACTGACTGTTTTTTTTTTTTAGCATGATCTTACATTTTTAATATAATGGGTTCTATTAGTATTAGTGTTAGTAAAAGTATTAGTGTTTATTTTATATTTATAGTGCATTTAATGCATACAATTAATAAAATATGCTATGCAACTCAAATTAACTAACTAATTATTTTTAGAATTTGTAGTGATATTTCTGTATATAATTTATGAATACAATATACAAAGAATATACAAATCAAATTATTGTTATTATTGTTAATAATTCAATTGAAAGCAAAATACATTTTTATTATTAGTAGTATTAGTATTTTTATATTTATAATGTATTTCTAAAATAAATCAACAAATTGTATTTAAAAAAAAAAAAATTTTTAGATTTTTTTTTTTTACACTTGACCTTTTGTGTTATTTCATAGTTTTGATGACTTCACTATTGTTCTAAAATGTGGAAAATAGTATAAACAAGAATAATTATGTCTGTCCAATCTTTTGAGTGGAGATATATGAATTTAGGAGAGATTCATATGCTCATAAATAGCAGACATAAACAGTCAGAAATGAGCTCATCTATTTATTTTTTTGGTTCATGGGTTGTTTGCACAATACTGATTCCCTCAGATTGTCGAGTCCATAACGGCTGCAGTAAAACTTCCCATCTGGTCATTTAGAGAAGGTGACAGCCCCCTTATTTTAGGGTACCAGATCTCTTAGCTCCACTCAACAAGACAAATGACCTAATAACGCCACTGTGCTATGGGCTGGGGTCCCAGTGTGGAGCTATGGGAAGATGATGAAGCAATACCAGATTATGTGGTGTCCATAGTGTGTTTTCAAAGTAAAGATCAGTATGGAGACCCTAAACTTGTACAGCACTAAAGATGGTCATATTAGAAATTCTCTTCATACTTCTTATTACACAAGGGTTTTATTTAATGGACAAATTGTGAATGGGCACCTGCATTATTTTCCTGTGGGCACTGATGACCTTGACCTTGACCTGTGCCCAGTGAAGAGCAGCTTTAGCACATATGTTTATTGAAAGGGCTATTATTGGTTAGCTTGATATCCTGTGGGCTGGGATTCACACAGGAAGCTGCCCTAGTTGACAAATGTGCAGGGAATTGAGGAATAGTTGTTTTCCTCCACATGGTATGCCATTTAAAATGTTTTTTTTTTGTGTGTTATATGACATAACTCCATCCTCTAGGGTCATTTTTTATTAGTTGTATGGTTTTAATGTTAACCAGTAGGTAGGGTTATAAATTCTTGAAGTTGAATGTTTTGTTTTCTCAAAATACTTTCTCCTATTTCAGCTAAATATACGAAGAGTTCAGATGCAAAAGCCTCTAAACGCCACCTCCGTCAAAAATGAGATAATGACATTGAGTGAAAGCTATCTGAACACAGTACACGTTCAACAAATATATTTGCTTCAAATCCTCGAAATCTCAGCCTCAGCCCATTCAGATATATCAGTTTGTCGGCAAAAGCCTCTAGACGCCACTTCCCTTTGGCAGCAAAAGCCACTACATCCCGAGAACCAATCAGAAGGCGCGAGCCGCGCGAATCAGTACAGGCTGTTTCAATAGAGCGGTGCGCTGAGGAGACGGATTTTTTGAGACGGCTGAGGAGATTGTTTTGTTTTTGGATTCAGATTTTTTACATTTTTAAGATGGAGTACGATGAAATGGAGGAGCCTGTCCTACTGACATCAAAAGGCAGAAGAGAACGTCGTTTATCTACCTCAAAACTCTTCCCGTTAATTTACAAGGCAAAAGAAAATCGGTAACTTTACAGTGAAAATAGCTTGGTCGCAAGTGTAGCATGCACTCATAACAGTTCTTGGTGCAGTGCTGTAACTTTGAAGGAATTTGATTTATTATACTTGAGATATACATTATAATATTACTTTACATTATTTAAGTCTTATAAGCTTCTTATACAAAATGCACAGATATTGATGTTTAAGAATGTTGCTCTGTTCTACTTGATTATACAAACTAAAACTATTAAACTATTTTAATCGCCAATTCTTTTTGCCAATGTGGTTGTAGGCCTACTGTGTGAATCGGGGGGGCTTTTGTCTTTATTCAGACAGGGCAGAAAGGTGACTGCAGAGAAATGGGGTGGGATTTGCAAATAATCGCAGATCTCATTCAGCCCCCCTGTAAAGAGGTGTGTCTACTGTTTAGTTTTGAAATGAATGTGCTCTAATCTTTTTCAGTGTTTCTAGTTACATTTGTATTGATTTTTCAGCTATTTACTATGTCTTGTCCCAAAGAGGTGGATTTAGAGGTTTTTGCGAAAAAAGCACAAGTGGATTTAGCTGTTTTTGACGCAAAAGAAAATCTAATTTGTTAAAAATCACTGAATTGACTCAAGTGACATTTTTGAAAAAAAGTTATTTTATTCAATGACTAATAACCTTATCAGTACCTTTAAAATGAAACTACTGGACGTGAACATAGGAGCCTGATAAAAAATGCTCATTTAAAGAAAATAAGTCTGACGGATTTAGAGGGTTTTGCATCTGAACTCTTCTGTTACAGACAAGTGTTTATTCATAGGTTTATTAAGCAAAAAAGTGTCTGCTGTGAGATTAAAAATGTCCAGGAACATGTTTCAAAACAGTGTTGAAGTCATTATTTTTGCAATTCCATTGGTGATGAAAGTGGCGCAGAAATTACACACTTCACCTTTGAATAAAGTATATTCCAATTCTTTCATAAAATGCATGGTCTGTTTTTCTTTACAGATCATGTGCAGAATGAAGAGAATTATGGGCAGGCACTCGACAAGTTTGGCAGCAACTTCATCAGCCGGGATAACTCTGATCTGGGAACAGCCTTCATCAAGTTCTCTGGCCTTATCAAGGAGCTGGCCGCTCTCCTCAAGAACCTGGTGAGGGATAGTGTACTGTTTTATGTATTAATGTTTGTATGTTTTTATGTTTTGTAATATTATAATATAATACCTATAAATTATGCATAATTGTATGCAACTAGCCCTAATCCTAACCCTATAGTAAGTACATGTACTTTATTATTATTACTCAATACTTAAATGTATAATTACACTGTAACATGAACACCTTAAAAATAAAGTGTTACCTATTTTTATTTATTTTATTTATTTATTTTTATTTTTTAATTTATTTTTTATTTTATTGAGGATTGTTTGAACAGCTTAGAAACTAATTAGTTTAGTTAAAGCTGCTGTCCGTAACTTTTTTGGGTTCAAATTATAAATTTTTGAGCAGGTACATAACCAGCCAGTGTTCAAAACTATATGCTTGCCTTAGCTCAATTCAAAACGGTAAGCTTGTAATAATGTTTTTAATTCCAGTGGTACTGGTGGATTTCCGCGGGAGATTCGAGCATGTCTTTGCGTCATTACGTCACATCCGTACACATAAAGAAGGAGTCTCTGCTAGTATAAGCTATATTGCGGGTGAGGATGTTGCAGTCTGAGATTTATAACCTCTTCTCACAGCACTTGATATAATTAAACTTATCAATTTGATGGCGGATCCAGAAAGGTTCAAACGACAATCACCAGTGACAACTGGAGATTCACCCGTTGTAAAATGCAAAAGAGTTCGGACTTCGGAGTGGCTACAGAAAAAAAGAGACTGCAACCAGCCCATGCGAAAACAAGGATACATATCAGAAGGACATTAAATGTAGTCACGCAATACTGATGTTGTTAACATTAACAATTTGAGAACAAAGTGTAATTTGAATGGTTTGAAGTGATATGACAAGCGATCATTAGATTTAATCAGTGCCATTTACTGATGTTTTTTTTCCCTTAGTTGGTCAGAACAAAAGTGGATGTTACTTGTTCAGATGACAATTTCCGGTGAAAATTCTTATGTTGGTCATACTTCCAAAAAAGTAGAAACTGTGATTCCGAAAAACAGTATCCACTCCAGCGCGGTGACTGACAGCCGCACATTCTCCTCAAAACATAAGATTCATCCGCGCTGTGCCGTGCCGAGGCACAACCCACGTAAAGTTGATAATTCCGCGAATAACTGCAATTGCAGATTTCGAACAGAGAATTCACTACGGACTGCAGCTTTAAGTAATGAAAAGTTGAGAAGAATTGGACTAAAAGCATTTTCATTTTTTATCACGATTATTTAGATTTAAGTTTTAAAACCAACCAACATCCACAAATGAAAAGCATGTTTAAACTAATACATGTACCAAAGTAACAGTAATTTTGACATTCGCACACATTTCATGCTTTTATAAATATCCTAAAATAGTCCTTTAAAGCTGATAATTTGATTATTACCATTCTTGTACAGTACATGTAGTGTGTTCTCTGATCATAAGCTGTATGATACTGGTTCTGATTCTCCTCCTCTTCTCCTCAGCTCCAGAGTCTCAGCCACAATGTCATCTTCACCCTGGACTCTCTGCTCAAAGGAGATCTGAAGGGAGTGAAGGGGGTAAGATTTACATCCCTGTCTCTGGACTGAACTTATTGGAAAGACCCCCTCTGAGGAACACCCTGATTTACTGCCCCATATTGGTCTTAAATGAGTCCCTTTGGACCAAAAAATGCACACTGTAAATCACGTTGGAGTTAAATTACAGGGTTCTTCACGCCACTGTCGTCTATGAAACACAGTGCTGAAGGAATGGCCACACTTAGTGCTAGTAAACAGTGTGGGAGTGTTTAACACCCTTTGACTCAGTCGGTTTGAAGTGTTTACTGGTTGACTGGAGGACAGAGCTCAGGCGTCAGACTGACCACTCTTGTCAGCAGGCTTGATGTCTCAGGCTTGAAGGCAAACATGTAGTGATTGTGAAAATTACTTACACTAAGTGTAGGGCCGTCTCACACTGAGCTGTTTTGGGAGGGCTGTCTGATTGTTTTTACATTAGCATGACCCAGGCTAAGAGCTTCAGCAGCATCAGCTGAATTTCTGAGTGGAAGTGATGAGGCTTCACTTTTTGCTCAGTAGACAGAGTACCAGAGTAGGTATGTACCATACCTACCAGCCCCCACTCTTTCTCTCTCACTCTCTTATCTCACTCATACTTTGTCTCTCTCTTTCTTTCACCCTCTTACTCAGCGGAAACGAAACCTTTCTCTAAAGCCCTTATTGACAGAGGCAGAGGCAGTTGAAGGGTATAAGTGCAGTCCCTGGAGGACATTATCAGCTCTCTCTAAAATCTTTCCTGCACTGGAACAGATGCCTCATAACCCATTAACAAGCATCTACACCAATGCTCCTGTATGTTTAACCAGGACTCACTCAGAGACTCTTAAAGGAATAGTTCACCCAAAAATGAAAACTAGCCCATTATTTACTCACCCTCAAGTCATCCTAGGCGTATATGACATTCTTCTTTCAGACGAATACAATTGGAGTAATATTCAAAAATGTCCTGGCTCTTCCAAGCTTTCTAATGGCAGCGAATGGTTGTTTCTGTTTTGAAGTCCATAAAAGTGCATCTATTCATCATAAAAGTGCTCCACACAGTTGTGGGGGGTTAATAAAGGCCTTCTGAAACGATGCGTTTGTGTAAGAAAAATAAAGTAAAATTCTAGCTTCCGGCCAAACGCAGTCTATTTGTGCCCAAAGCGCAACTTACGCAACTTGTGACGTCGGAAGTAGCGTAGTGCGTTATGGCGTAACGTAAATATGAGCAGTACGTCACATTACTCGCATAAGTTGCTTCAATCAATTAAAAAAATAAAACAATGAATCACACATTTTTCTGTAATTAATCGCGATTAATTGCACGTAGCATTAACATTTTTAATTTTTATATTGTAATAATTTCACATTTAATCTCCAAATTAATGTAGAAACAACATAAAGACAGTAGCCTATTTTTTTTAAAATATTTGTTTAATGGCATCTTTTTATGAAAGAAGGCATCACTGATACCATTACTGCTACTGATGTCTCTATGAAATAGATTTTTTACTCTCAATTGTAGCCATTAATTATAGGCATAACAGTATATATAGGCATAACTTTAAATTTAAGTGAACTTAAAACAATCTTCACATAAAGCCATTATAATAAATGTCACATTTACCTGTGCCCTTCAATATTTCAGGGCTAAATTTTTCCGATTGGCCCAGTTAGACCAGTTCAGCTTTTTACTTGCCCTGTAAAAATGGACAAAAAGTTCTTGTTTTTGTTGTTTATGAACCATGTAACCTTGAAACAGTGCTTTGAAATTTTTTAGGTAGGTCTAACAGGTGGGTACAGAAAGTAAATAAAGTTATCAAGCACTTTACAGTCTTCACTGCATCAATTATAAATTAAATATAGATTCATCCTTATTAAGGCTACAAATGTTATTCAGTCAAGAGCTGTGAGTGGTTTTCTCTTTTTCTCTGATTATCCTTAAAGTCCCCATGAAATCCAAATGGAAGTTTTTTTTCTTGTAGTATGAATATGTTAGCTTTAAGGTTATTTATAAGCTAGTGTGCTCAAAACAATGACAAAATTCACATTAAGAAGATATAAGTGTTCAAAACTTAGTCTCTTCCGCCAATATGGATCAACGATTTTGATGACATCACTCTGCACTTCAGCTTCTCATCAGATTTTCTGTCCAATCAAATGCTCTCAAGAATCTGAAGCGTCCCTTCCCCTACACTAAAGACACTGAAGCTGGTTGAAATCGGTCACTTGTTCACACACTTATAGGGGATAGGGAACGATTCAGACAGTCTAAATATGATTTCCATTGGGACGAATGACATCTGGTTTCTCGTAAGTGACACGGGACCCCCCGCTGCACGCACACAGTCTGCTCTGGTCCAGAGACAGACACGAAAGCACAGAGCGGATCATATACACGAGTCGGCGCAGACCACAAAACATATGGGACTCGGACACAGAATGCTATATTTTAAAGCGATATGGAGGAGATCAGGAGGAGAAACGGTTAGACAGACCTGGCATTAGAAACCGCACTGAGGAGTAGAAGAGATAACATCAGTGCCATGCACCAACATAAATTACCATATTGTTCCGAATAGAAGACGGTGTTTTTTTTCTTGGAAATACATTTGAAAAAATTGGGTCGTCTTATATTCAGGGTCTAGACATGCACAGTAAATGCCATAATACACCCGCTACAATAGGGAGTGCCAAATACGTGTAAAACAAGTGTGCCCCCAAGACTGATAAACAACTCTCATTTAGCAGCCAAGAAATACGCTGGGTAACGGTGCGTGTCCACTGGCGTGGAGTAGAGTGAGCGTTTTCAGTTCATTCCTATGGAAGTTTAGCATCACGCTCACACGTGAGCAAGAAGCTCAATTTCCACAGGAAGGAACTGAAAACGCTTGTTCTGCTCCTCTCACTTCGCGCCAGTTGACTGACACGCACCGTAAGAATGATGCGGCAAAATGGATTAGCATTACGTTTTGCACTTGCCCTCCGACTTTTGCAAGAAATTGCTGTCTTTTCAGTGCTATGTGATCGGCCTGTGGAATCAGATCAGATGGATTAGATCAGATTTTTATGGGGTGCCATAAAGTTTTTTTTTTTTTATTGTTGGTACATTTCACCAATATTTACCATACTTTCAATATAAAAATGTAACATTTAAATATGAAAAATATGCAATATGAAAATTATTTTCAAATAAAAGCATTTTCTTTATAAAAGACAAGATTTTGTCCTCAAAAAGCCTTTTGCCAAAATGTACATCTTTGTCTTATAATCGGAACAATACGGTACACACTTTTCAAACTACACATCCTCAGCATGATTAAGTTCACTGTTTTGGTTTAGTTACGGTTTCATATTAAATCTAAATGGGGAAATATTAGACCGTGGCTGTCAAGTGCAGCTTTGCTGAGCTCAACAGCTCTGGCCGAGCTGTGATATAAACTAAACGCTATTGGCTGTTTTAATAAGGGGGAGAAGCTGCTCGATATTTCCCGCCCTGCCTTCCTGTTTCAGTGGAAATTACATCAACACACTGAATAATGCTGCGTGTTAATATTTTAACTCTTTACATTAATGTAAGAACTCATTTAACTGTGCTTTCGAGGGCATTTTGGCATAATTTTGTGTGTTTTTGTCCGTTCAAGTGCTGTCTGAAGCGGCTTTCTGTGCGCACGAGTCATGTGTGTGTCACAGAAAGGAGATTAACTGACGCGGGCCAGCACTGCGTTCTCTTTTGTGTCTTGTTGCGCTTGAATGGTTTTTTACCAGAGATGCACCTCTGGCTAGTACAATTCTGACAAATACAGTAAGCCCATAATTGTTTTAAATCAACTAAAAAATGGCCAATTTTAAAATGCTATTCTTATTGTTTTAAATGCTAAAAGTGAACTTATGCATCACTGCATTATTAAATGCAGCTTACATTTAACAGTGTTATTAAATTATTAGTGTTTTTAACGTTAAGTGAGCATTAGATGATGGTAAATAAATACTAAATGTTATAATTGGACAGTGCCGAAAAAGTAATACATATCGGAAGATAACCGACATATCAAGCAACCCTACTTTTTAGTAGTCATTTAACACAATCTCAGATTTTTAACCGAATAAATGTCTGGAGAAAAAATTTGGCACGTCTTTTTGTGCTCTGACTTAAATGTATTCTGAAGCATAAAATGCTGTAGGTTTCTGGATTTTGCTTCAGCAGTAGGAATACAGTATATTCATGCTGTGAACAAATTCGTGCTTATACCCATGCTAAGAATCCAGCAAACTGATACACTTCAGATAAAGTAACACACTCCAAAAGGACTCAGCCAAAACATCTGTGTGTGTTTCATGATCAATTATTATTTGAGCAGATGAACATTTGGGTAGTTGGAAAGTGAATAACGTCATTAAGTCCAGAGAATAGGTTCCTGAGAGTGGGAATCTGATAATAAAGAAATTGCATTACCACAGTCCATGTCAGTCACTACTGTACATCAGCAGTCTGAGTTTTATAGTAGTGTTCTGATCAAATCTCTTGAGATGTAGATGATTTCTTTGTGGTGCTTTATATTGTATAATAATGTGTTCAGTTTAACAACTGTAGAAAATGGTCTATAACTCTGCACAGTAAACCTAATTGCTCCTTGCACTATTTATTTTATTTCCCTCAACACAGGATCTTAAAAAGCCTTTCGACAAGGCCTGGAAAGACTATGAGACCAAGTTGTAAGTATCATTACCAAGTGTTTATTCTTTGGTCGTTGTATTCAAAATGTTGTTTAATGTAATGTGGTGATGTACAGCAGTTTTATTGTCAAGCACAACAATATATCATCATCATCATCATCATAGTGAAAGAGCCACTTGCGGTAACCTCTGTCTGAACTTCTGCTTATTGTTTCTCTGTCATCTTCCGTTTCTTGTCTTTTTCGCCATAGCACGAAGATTGAGAAGGAGAAGAGGGAACATGCCAAGCAGCACGGCATGATCCGTACGGAGATCACCGGCGCAGAGATCGCAGAAGAGATGGAGAAGGAGCGGAGGATCTTTCAGCTGCAGATGTGTGAGGTGTGTGGGCTTGTGAGGATTTAAACTTTCGGTCTCTTTCCTCCTCGTTCTTCCGAGAAACGTTAGCTTGACGGTAGTTTTGATTGTTCAGCAACTTTAGGTTGTCTCCTTGTTCTCTTCTGCCATGATGTCTGCTCTAACTTGAGGTGTTGTGAAAGGCCAGGAGATCTTCTGATGTGTTCATATTTTTCACCCAGCAGCAAGTTTTGAAATGGCTGTTTGAGACATCATTGCTCGGCAGTGTCTTAGCTCATGAATATTAATTTGGCTGTTGTGACGTTGCTAGGTAACATTACTGAACTATCCATTCACACAACCTGATAAATATTCATGAGTCAAGCCTTTGCAACAGTGGGCTTTGTATAATCAGGTGCAGAATATGCTTGAGTACAGACATACCAAGATATCAGACCAGCTTTATGTTTGATACATGATATTTTACTGTTTTTTATAAATATTGTACACGTATATTTCCAAGATGTATTGATATGAATATTAGGTCTGTGTTAAGAGTATTTGGTCGTCTTTGAGATGCAAACAAAAATGATTATATCAACAATTTAATATTGAATTACATAGTACAAACCATTTAATCATAACCAATAGTTTTCAAGGCTCACTTCAATCAAATCAAAACTGCTTTTATTGGAATTGGATTTCATAATCTAAACAATATACAAAGAAACGTAAAATACAAGTCATTAAATGTATATTATTAAGTGTATAATAACAATTGATGCAGGCTGAAGTGGTCCCCTCCATATTTCTGTTTAAACCAGGGGTTAGGGTGGAGCATTTAAACACAATTCTTATAGTTGAGCCACTTTAACCACTTCAAAGCAAGTGTGCGTGTGCGTTTAGAAGGGAGCAGCATCTCAGATGTTCTTTCCTGTTAACACACCAATGTCTCTATGTGCTTTATTATCTGTGGTTCCCAACAGTACCTGATCAAAGTGAATGAGATTAAGACCAAGAAAGGAGTGGATCTCCTCCAGAATCTCATCAAGTATTATCATGCACAGTGCAAGTGAGTGTCCCAGAATCCTGTTTTCTTACTGATGTAAGGTCTGTTATTGTAATTCCTAAGAAATGTCTCCCAGATTAGTTAAGATTTCAGTATTTTGATATTAAATTGAGATATATTATCTTCAAAGAGTTATTAAATGTATACAATTAATCAAAAGTGACAGTTAAAGGCTGGAATACACTACACGACTTTTAAAATCTGAACAGATTTTAGACATTGTTATCGGTCATAACATCTGGAGAAAACAGCGCAGATACTGGAATAAGATGAAACTTTCTAGAGTGCACGTGTCAACCACCTCCGTTCGCACACGCTAACAAATGGAGTAAACTTTGAAAGGCGACGGGTTCGACTGTACGCATATGTTAGCGAATGTGTAAAAAAAGAAGTATACTTTGGGCTTTAGAGGTGGTTGTTTTATCTGTCAAATATTTAATTGCTACACTGGTAGATCGAGGACAGCTTTGGTTTCAGTATTGACGCATCATACGCTACGATATGTGTTCTAAAATCAGCTCAAAATATCAAACATGTTTTGATATCCTCTGGCTCTATGGAATCATTGTCTGAAGCTAAAAAATCGGAGTCTGTGCCCATCATATACTATGCGATATTCTGTGAAATTTGCCGACTGCCCTGCAGACTTTTGGCAACTATTGTCAACTCATCCAGACAGCAAATCGTGGCAAAAATCTGAGCACAATTTGTGTAGTATTCCAGCCTTAAAGACACAAAAAATATAATGTTACTCAAATAAATATTTTTTTATTCATCAGAATCCTGAAACAAATGTATCACAGTTTACACTATTAAGCAGCTCAACTGTTTTCAGCTGTGATAATATTAAGAAATGTTTCTTGAGCACCAAATCAACATATTAAACTGATTTCCTGAAGGATCATGTGACACTATCAAGTTTTGCCATCACATATTTAAATTTTAAAATGTATTAACATATAAAATACTTATTTTAAAATGTAATAATATTTCATGATATTACTGTTACTGACTTATTTCAAAAACATAAAAAATCTTAACAACCCCAAACCTTTTAACAGTAGTATACATAGTGTTGAACAAATGCATAACAACAACCTTTCATTTGTGCTTGTATTTTCTCTCAGTTTTTTCCAGGACGGCTTGAAAACCGCTGACAAGTTGAAGCAGTATATTGAGAAATTAGCAGCTGATCTCTATAATGTTAGTAAACCTTTACATTTGTGCTTCTCTAGGTCTGTTTTATAGTTTTCTGTTTCGTTGTTAGTTCTGTTACTATGCATGCAGCTCTGCTTATGAGAACATTATGATTATATTAAATATGATATCATAAAACATAAGCATTATTAATATGTGAGTCTATGAGTGAAATATGATCTCATATTCAGACAGGAAAAAGTAAAGCTCAAGCCAGCTGTTCCTTTGAAAAAGTAATAAAGGTTTACTAGCAGTGCCTCCTCAAGAAAGTGTTTTCTCTTATGCAGACATCTTGAAATGAGGAAATAGCAGCCTGTTTGTTTTATATTGTTTATTTCGCCCCATATTGAAACACTGTAAATCTGCACTGTCAGATCAAACAGACCCAGGACGAAGAGAAAAAACAACTTACAGCTCTCAGAGACCTCATCAAGTCGTCCTTACAACTGGACCAGAAAGAGGTAGGTACATCACCGGAGGTTGTGACCTCTGCCTTTAATCTTTTGTCTTTGACTGATCACTGAGGGTATTCTATCAGAATAGTGCAATCAGTTCCATATATGTCATGCAACAATGGGTTTACATGCTGTATTCAGCATTAAAGATATGAATGAGTCCAGGTGTGAATATGCTTTTCATGTCCAGTTTGTCCTGACATTTACTGCCTCTGAGAGACTGTGAAGTAGGTTTTCAGTGTTTGTGTGCGAGCGTACATGTTCTCACGAGAGAGAGGAAACATGGACATGCGGGTCAGACAGTGACAACACAAGCTCTTTTGTAGAGCCCAGCGTTTGATCTTTTATGTGTTTTGTTTGGAGTTGATGTCCATTTGAACCGGACGTTTCTGGTCTCGATTGAATAACAATGCCCTGCGTTGTATTATCCTCGGGACACTGCTGTGAACATTGCAACGCTAGGTTTGCTCTTATTTTTATTCAACGCACACTGCAATAATAATAATCTGACATCTGCATTTCTGACTCCTTTCCTCCTTTCTCTTTCACTGCCTTCCAACTGAAGTCTAGGAGAGTAAGTTCATAAAAGTAACGTTTAGTGTTGCCAAACTTTTTTCCTTTATCTGATTTTATTATATATACTGTGTGCGCAAATGTCTACTGAACATTTTTCTTTTAATACAATAGAATTTTATTATCATATAGTGGTTACATTTGGTGCTAGAATAAAATACTTCCAATACATTTTCCATCATATTGTTTCTTTGTTTAAAATCCTATTTTTTTTGTTTCTTTTCAGGTTTAATGAAAAATAAAAATCCCAGATTTTCAATGTATTCTCAGACTTTTGATCACACTTTACTTTTTAGATTTTGAATGTTTTTGTTGTGATGTGCAGGATTCTCAGAGCAAGCAGAGCGGTTACAGTATGCACCAGCTGCAGGGCAATAAGGAGTTTGGCTGTGAGAAGAAGGGCTATCTCTTCAAGAAGAGTGATGGGTGAGCTCACACACTGATGTGAAATGTAGTCAGATGAGTAATGTGACCTAATTGTCTCTTGATCGTGTCTAATGGAATTGGCTACACTGTAATTGATTGGTTCAACACCACATAGCTTCTGATCACTGCTTCTTCCAGCTCTAAAGTGTCAAGTCACTTAAATATATACAGTATAAACACCAGGCATCACAATGCTTTACCATAGAAGATGTATCATTAGGCATTCCCCTTGAATATTTTCCAGTAAATTGAGTAAAAGTGACAGATTTTCACAATGTTAAAAAAAATATTTCAATTTCAAATAAACTGTTTAAATAAAAAAAACAATAAACGGCTTTCAACACTGATAGAATAATGTTTCTTGAGGACCAAATCAGCATATTAGAATGATTCCTGAAGGATCATGTGACACTGAAAACTGGAGTAATGATGAAAATTCACCTTAGCTATAGAATAGAAAAGTTATTTTAAATTGTAATAATATTTCACAATATTACTGTTTTTATTATTGTTTTTTTTGGTGTGCGAGACTTGAAGACTTTTCAAAAACATGAAAAAAGTCCTACTAACCTCAATTTTTAATGTTAGTTAGTGTATACATTTTTTAAATGTATAGACCTTATGCACCAGAGAAACGTGGGCGCCGTCATCTTTAGAATATTGTCTTTGAACTTCCGTTTTTGCGGTCGCTCTGTATATTTCTATGGCATCGCTGTCCAGGAGTAATTAGCTGGTGAAGTTGATTTAGTTATTGTAGAGTTAACAAAAGTTATCATGAGCATTGTAATGTTTATCATAAGCATTGTAAAGCAGATGTCTTAACAAATGTCGACCGGGAATTTTTTTACGAGCAGTTCATTCATACCTATGCAAGATCGCTGTGAAAATACCTATGCAAGACCCCCCCCCCCCCCCCATTTTTACATAAATTGTAGTACTGGCTGTGTTGAACCAATTAAACCTGTAATAAAAATGTATTGTATGAAAAAGATATCAAATAAATATATTTTGTGTAGTTTATTGGAAATATAAGTTTATCAATAACTATAAACCAAACACTTGGTAAGGAACAAGCTTTGCTTTCACTTAGGAACAGCTTAATTTAGGCTATATTTGCTAATCTTTTTGTTATTTTTATGAATTTTGTGAAACACACACATTGTGAACAGGGTTGCACTGATTTCAAACCTTATTTAGTACCTTACTCATGGAAAACAACCTTCTGGCTTTGAAAGAATGTACAGAACAGAATTGGTATTCTTCTTAAATTAAATAAATCAAACATTTTCCTCCTTTGTTCCAATTATCAAGCCATCTTAGAGATTCTAAGGACGGGTGTAATGATTTTCATTCACAGGATCCGTAAGGTGTGGCAAAGGAGGAAGTGCTCAGTGAAAAATGGCATCCTCACCATCTCCCATGCCACAGTGAGTACTTCACTAACCAGAGTAATACAATGAGATATACTCACAGAATATGCTGATATTTGCTTTAAAAGGATGTTTTGGTCTCATTTACTACTTACCTATCGAATGTAAAAATTTTAAGTTTAAGATTTTTTTATTAAGTATAGCTGTAGCTTTTAAAATGTTGGCTTTTTGTTTCCTCACTTTAGCACTCATTCAAAACTATCTCTCACCGTGTAAAGGTGAACATGGGGGGGTAGTGCTGCCCAGTTACCATAGAAACATGCACCCGGTGCGATCTGACTCATACACTAATGATATTAGCACGAACGAGACCCAGCATGCTCCGGGCCCCAGGTGGTCGATGAGTTTCCTGGTGTAATCTGCTGTAAGGACGCTGATGCTCAGCAGACGCCGTGTGGAGCAAATGCATTTTGCTCTCTCGTCTCTGTGGCTATGTGCTCATATTCCTGTCTGATAGCATTTGAATATGCTCCAAACCCTAACCTAACAGTCTACTACAGTCTACTAATGTAGTTTACATATAGTTGCAAAGTTACTTATAGTTAGTAGAATGTCTAAAGCGGACCATCGAAATCAAGTGCAACCTACATGAATATTGTACAAGAATGTTTACCGAATATATAACAAACATTAATATTGTGGGTTATACATGCATCATTGGTTTGTTCTAAGACTGAAACCGTTGATCCTGCGTTGGATACTCCTTTGCAACTAATTACATTTTATTTCTTATAAACTGAAAAATATTTTCACATGTTTCTGAAGTATGATTTCTACAATACTGCCCAGATGTCACGCATGAACTGCGTTGGCAATCCAGCATTTCATCAAGGCTGTTATTGTTACCAATATGGAGCTATAGCAATCTGTTTTAACACATTACTTCCAGCAAAGGCTTTTGTCCCTAGAGCTTTTTTAGGTTTTCTCATTTTTATTTTCTCATCAAAACATTCTCTCTGGGATTTGAGTTAGACAGTAATATATGCAAAAACACATTATTTATATGATATTCTAAAATATTTCTATAATTAAATATTGTTATGACTTCTCATATTGACATGTGTTTAGTTACATGCATCAATTAATATATAAATCAAGTTGAGTTCAGCCTCCCCTATTATTATTTTGTTTTCTTATTTCTCTTATTTTTTTAACCTGCCCTAGCAGTTTTCACTGACCCCACTACACAAATATATATAAATGTTGTTTCAGCAACATATTTGTATGTGTGAGGAAGACATCTGTGTGAGGAAGAAATCTTTTAAATAAATAAAATATAAATAAATAATAGTTAAACTAAAATAAATAAAATAATAATATAATAATAATAAAATAATACACCATTAACTTAATGGAAACTATAAATTCATAAACAACTGGTAAACAACCATGTCATTTGATGATTTTCCAAGTCACTCTTCCAATTTTCACAAAGTCTCATCTATGTTAGCTAGGTAAATGCCTTTACCTTGGTGACAAGTCCATAAACTGGCCCCAAAACTGACTGTAATTACTCTGTCCAGTCCAACAGGCAGCCGGTGAGACTGAATCTGCTGACCTGTCAGGTTAAACCCAGCGGAGAGGATAAGAAGTGCTTTGACCTCATCTCCCGTGAGTAACTACACAGAACCTATGTCCCCTGCCAAACTTCAGAGTACTTCCATCCGTGCCAAGTGCTAGCAAGGCCTCCAGAAGTCTAACTCCATTACACAGGCAGAGACGACTAAGTGCAGTGTTCAGAGGCTGAAGAGCAGTTAACATAATGCACTTCTTCCCCTAATAATCTCTTTCCCTCTGCAGATAATCGAACATATCACTTCCAGGCAGAGGATGAACAGGAGTTTGTGATGTAAGTGTGAATGTGTTAGTTCGAGAGTTGATACCATCTGTTATTTTTCTGTGCTCATGAGTGAGAACAAGATGTGAGTGTATCAGTGCCTCTTTGTGTTAATGAGAAGAATATATTAGGGCTGGGCTACATATAACAAAAAATATAAGACAGAAAACATATACTACCATCAATAATTCATTAAATTGATCAAAAGTCACAATAAAGACATTTATGATGTTATAAATTATTTATCTTTCAAATAAATCCTGTTCTATTGAACTTTCTATTCCTCAAAGAACCCCAAAAACAATACATCACAGTTTTCACAAAATATTCAGCAGCACAACAGCTTTCAACATTAAGAAATGTTTCCTGAGCACCAAATCAGCATATTAGAATGATTTCTGAAGGATCATGTGACACTGAAGACTGGAGTAATGATGCTGAATATTCAGCTTTGCCCCATGACAGGAATAAATGACATTTTATAATATATTAAACTAGAAATCAGTTATTTTAAATTGTAAAAAATAATAAGTGAAGTCTTGCTGAGTATAAGAGACTTAATTGTAATTAATTAAAAAGAGCAATAATTGTATGAAAAAAATCAATTTCCACAGTTTTTGCACTACATGAATAAGGTAAAAATAATAATAATAATAAAATAGACTTTTCATAACTTATGTATTCATATATTTTAACTAAAACATTTTAATATAGAAAAAAACATGCTGAAATATCTGTGAACAATTTTGAGTGATGCTGCGAACTAATCGTCGATTTTTTTTTTAAATAGAACATTTTAAAAAAAATTATTTCCCAAAAATGGATTACTCTAATGCTGTTTTTGCTATTGAAGTTTAAATTATAGGCTTTTGTATGCTTAATGGATAAAAATAAGCTTGTGTAAATCATTGTGAGATTCACTATGTTGCTTATATATTATATTATATTATATTATATTATATTATATTATATTATATTATATTATATTATATATTTTGCTGTGGATTAGTAAGCTTGTTTGTGTCTGTTGATATTTAAATATCTGTATAGCACCACGTCATATATTGATACATAAATATGTGTTTGCGAATCTGTCTTTATGTGTGTGTGTGTGTGTGTGTGTTATGGCTTAGGCTGAAACGCGTCTGTGTGGACATGGTATTAATAAATATATGAGATATAACTAGAGAGTGCGGTTTTTCATCTTTATTTGTGTGTGGTATTTCACATAACTTATCACATATGCATGCCCATCTGTGGTGGTGTGCAAGCGATTAATGCATATATATGTTCATGTGTGATGAGCAGATGGATTTCAGTGCTGACTAACAGTAAGGAGGAGGCTCTGAACATGGCTTTCCGTGGGGAGCAGAGTGCTGGAGATGACAGTTTGGAAGACTTGACCAAAGCCATCATCGAGGATGTGCTGCGCATGCCTGGAAATGAAGTCTGCTGCGACTGTGGAGCACCAGGTTAGCCAAGTTTGTGTGTGAAAGTTTTGTAGCAGTGGCATCTGACTCAGTCCCCATTTTATCAATGCAGTGAGGTTTCAAAACAGTTTCATAGATTCATGCGCCACCTTGTGGCTTAGAGGTGAGTGGCAGGACACAGCGCTCATCGACTACAATATAAAATCCAATTTTCTCCCATTTTATCTGCTCTAGAGCCTAAATGGTTATCCACTAACCTCGGCATCCTGACATGCATCGAGTGTTCAGGGATCCACAGGGAAATGGGTGTCCATATTTCACGCATCCAGTCCATGGAACTAGACAAACTCGGCACCTCTGAACTCTTGGTAATGTGAATGTAAATCTTGTAATTTACACTACCGTTTTAGAAGTTTAAGGGTCAGATTTTTTGGCGTTTTTTTTTTTGTGAAGAAATTAATACTTTTATTCAGCTAAGATGCATTAAATTGATTATAAATTATGGTAAAAAGAACTGTAAACTGTTTCAAATAAATGTTTTTTTTTTTTTTTACTTTCTATTCATCCAAGAATTATGAAACAAATTATCAGTTTCCACAAAAAAGAAAGCAACACAATTGTTATTATACAACTAATAATAAATGTTTATTGAGCACCAAATCAGCATATTATGATTTCTGAAGGATCTTGTGACACTGAAGACTGGAGTATGATACTGAAAATTCAGCTTTGCCATCACAATAACAAAATGTTTTTAAAATATATTAAAATAGAAAAGTTAAAATAATATTTCACAATATTACTGGTTTTACTGTATTTTTGATCAGATAAATTAAGCCTTGGTGAGCATACGATTTTTTTATTTATTATTGCGGACCCCCCATTTTTGAACGGTAGTGTGTGTGTGTGTGTGTATATAAATTAAAGTGTTGACTTTTTAACATAATCTCTTTGGTGAATGTATTACTAAATTATAGGTATGCTATGATCTGTTAACATGCTAGTTACTGACAGCCGAATGCGATCTTTCCACAGCTGGCTAAGAATGTGGGTAACAGTAGTTTTAATGAAATTTTAGAAGGGAATCTGCCAAGCCCTTCACCAAAGCCAACACCATCAAGTGACATGTGAGTACCAGCTTACCTAGCATACATTAACAACTGTAGATAGTACTACAGACTTTAACTATTGGAATGACCCTTTGTTTAGTAGTTAAAGCACTAATTCATATGTAAAGCAGCATGTGCTTTTTGAAATTAACTATTTTAGGACCGAGAGGAAGGAGTACATAAACACAAAGTACGTGGAGCACAGGTTTGCTCGGCGGACAGCCACTACAGCCACAGCCAGACAGGGCGACTTGTACGAGGCCGTGAGAACTCGAGACCTGATGGCTCTTATTCAGCTCTATGCAGATGGAGTGGAGCTTATGGATCCATTTCCAGAAGCAGGACGGGTATTGATCTTTGACTCATTTGACTTTGATGTTTTTCATAGATTAACTGATTTATATGCTGCTTATTTAGAGATATATAGTCATTTACTTACCAGAGTGTATATGAACTGACCTCAGGTCAGATGAGAAGTGTGGTCCCCAAGGGTTTGTCAGTACTCATTCATTTTGTAAGACACTTCCTGTTAGTTTTAGAGTATCTGAAACCTGCTTTTGGTCAATCGCAAGAATATGCTATATAGCATATTTAAATGAATGCAAATATTTCTCAGTAATGTTGTCCTGATTCTGGTACTGAATTACTGTCGACAGGACCCGGGAGAGACAGCGCTGCACTTTGCTGTGCGGATGTCAGACCAGACCTCGCTGCACCTGGTGGACTTTCTTGTCCAAAACAGGTAACGGACAGAACATTCTGTAGTGTGTATTAGTCCACTGATGCTCATTAGGAGATAATTAAGCTGCAAGATGTTAAATATGGATCTGTGTGTGCAGTGGAACTCCAGACAGACAGACGGAGAGTGGAAACGCTGCTCTCCATTACTGCTGCACATATGAGAAGTCAGAGTGTCTCAAACTGCTGCTCAGGGGAAAACCATCTATTGACCTGGGTGAGTGGGTTATCTTTAGCAATGGTGTTTCAACAGAGACAACATCTGGAGTTATTTCAATATAAATAAAGGCAGCTGATTGTTGACATTTATCTAAAGTTAAAATTCTACAATTGCTGTAAATAAACGTTTTAATAAATGATAGAAGTCTGATCATTTGTAATATAATGCTTTGTAGTTTAGACCACAATGCATGGCCATGTGAATTTATTAACATATACTTCCTTTATTTAGATTCTACATTAATTTGTGGATTGTGTTAATGCAGTATTCATTATATATATAATAGTAAATAGTAAAATACTAATAGTATGAAATCTTATTACAATTTAAAAGAACTGCTTTCTATTTTAATATTTAACAACAACAAAAATTCCTGTAATGGCAATTAAATGCATGCTTGCTGAATAAAAGTACTAGTTTCTTAAAAAAAAAAAAAATCTTACTGACCCCAGACCTATGTATAATGTCACACACACATTTCATATAAAGTCATACAATGATTTGCAAGAGATTATTGGATCTTTTGCAGAGGTTTAAAAACCTCAGCTGTTAATACAGGCCTCTGGGACCCACATGCCGGTCTGAATGCTTAGAGGCTCATCTTCCAACAAGTTTCATTCCTCAAATTCTTTTCATTTCTACTGAATAATACACAGGTGTCCCCACACCTAACCTGGAGGCTTTGATTTTTTGCGTCTTGCTTAGTTTTAAAATATGTCTTTTTTCCCAACCTTAATATAAAACTACTAATGAGTTTTTAAAATATATATTTTTTAAATTAAATTACCATAGTAGTAGCAAGGCTGTACCTATGTGCTTTGTGTTTTATTTCAGTTAATCAAAATGGGGAGACAGCTTTGGACATTGCCAGACGAATGAAAAATGCACCGTGTGAAGAGCTAGTGAGTGTGATACTTTATATTCAATGCTTAATTTCTGTGTTGCTGACACTGGCAATTACAGAAGAATTTTGCCATACAACCACCGGCAATTTCACTATATACAGTCATGTAATTGTTCAAAACATGAGCTTTATTTTCTGGCATTAATGTCATTGGAGACGTGTATTATGTTAATGGGCTTGTGATTGGTTGTGCAGCTGATGGAGGCAGCAGCTGGGAGGTTTAATCCTCACGTGCATGTGGAGTATGAGTGGAATCTGCGGCTGGAGGAGATTGACGAGAGTGACGATGACCTAGATGACAAGGTTTGTGCGCCCACCTTTTGCTTTGTCCAATATCTCCCTATACTAGAGCTCCACTAACTCTCCCTCTTCATGCACCTGTAATAAGCATAGGTAATTATAAGTGATTTTGTAGGTAACTGATTACTTGTTGCTGGAAACTTCACACCTGGTTAGAACATGGTGCAACACTTAAAGGGTTAGTTCACCCAAAAAATGTCAATTCTGTCATCATTTACTCACCTTCGTGTTGTTTTAAACCTTTAAGACTTTCATTCATCTTCAGAACACAAATGAAGATCTTTTTGATGAAATCTGAGAGTTTTCTGCATTCTCAATTGACAGTTATGCAACTACTACTTTGATGCTTCAAAAAGTTCATAAAGAGATCGTAAAACTAATCCATCTGAAATGAGCTGTGTAGATAAAATTTTCTATAGAGACACGATCGCTTAATATGATGAACAGATTTAATTTAGGCTTTTATTCACATTTAAATATAAACAGAAGCTCAACCGTAACTGCTTGACACACGAGAACAAACCTCATTGGTTCTTGAGGAAGCACAAACGTGCTGCGTAACACGAGAACAAACCTCATTGGTTCTCGCACGTCAAGCGAACATGCTTGAGCTTCCGTTTACCACAACTGATGTGTGAGTTGATGAATGTTTATATGTGAATACAAGCCTAAATTCAATCTGTTCACCATAAAGCGATCGTGTCTCTAAAACTAAACTAAACAACACCTAAACTGAACTAAACTACTAAACTGCTCAATTCAAATGGATTAGTTTTACGAACTCTTTATGAACTTTTTGAAGTGTCAAAGTTGTGTAGCTGTCAACGGAAGGACAGAAGGTCTCAGATTTCATCAAAAAGATCTTAATTTGTGTTCCGAATATGGACGAAAGTCTTACAGGTTTGGAACAATATGTGGGTGAGTAAATGATGACAGAATTTTTATTTTTGTGTGAACTAACCCTTTAAACTTGCAAAATTGTATTATGTTTTAATCACAAAAGTTATATATTTTGTAATTGTATCAAACTAAGCTAATGTACAGGTTTCTTAAAAAAAAACAATATGCTATTTAAAAAAATCTAGACAAAAAAAAAGTTTACATAGAAAACAAAAAGTATATTACTGCCATTCGGGTAATGCACAAATAAAAATTGTGATAACTGAAGTCTATATAAGAATCTAAAAAATGGTTGTCACATTAGTCTTATAACAATAGGGTGGAAAATGCTCTTGGTCCACTGTGTGAACAAAGCTCTCTTGCCACTCAGAAGCAAACCGATTTGATAAGCGACCAAGTTCCTTGTAGCGCTTTAAATAGCGCATTTTATGCCATCATAAAAGTGGAACCCATATCTGCAAAGATCCATGACTCGAGAAATGAGAACCCAAATCAAAATATTACCACACTTGGATGTCCCTGAAAGCACACACCACCTCAACGCCACGTATACACAGTGCCTCCTAATGCATTCACTTGTAATCGCAAGGTTTTGGAGAGGCTGTGGACTAATTTTAAAATCAAGTGATGTGTAATATTTTTCCATCTCCAGCCCAGTCCGGTAAAGAAGGAGCGTTCTCCCCGACCTCAGAGCTTCTGTCATTCCTCGAGCGTGTCCCCTCAGGAGAAGCTGTCTCTCCCTGGGTATTTAGGACACAGGGACAAACAGAGACTCTCCTACGGAGCCTTTGCCAACCCTGTCTACAACACCTCCACCGAAACACCTGCATCTCCGATATCAGAGGGGCCCGATATCAGAATAGCCAGCAAGACCACTGGGAAAGGTATACATGCCTTTATGCATGACGCTGCAGATAAAAAAGAGCAGCCCATGTAGCAGGAAAGGTAAAACATGATGATAGATTGAATTGTTTGCATGTACTGTACTTGACGTCTTTACATTAACTCTAATTGCGGGGGAGGTATAATGTGCAATCGGTTGAGGCTGACCCTTAGTGATTGTAAAACATCCTCTCACACCACAACCACTGTTTGCTTGCAAACTGAGCTGGAATGTGCAACCTTTGGCTGTCGTTTGATCTAATCTAATATCAGCCTGCACCTGCATTCTGCGACCATGTTAGCTGTCGTTTTCTTGTTTCTTTTTTTTTTTTGGTTGTGCTTTTGGAAATCACTTTACACTCATCCCTCCTGACATGATGGGAGTGTTGTCTTTGCCCTTGTGTTCCGGTGCGCTCGGGCCTCACTTGCTTCTCGACCAATCACGTCATCTCGTCACTCTTTCAGCTCCGTCCTCTGGACCGCCCACCTCCCTGCCGCTGGGATCGCAATCGAGTGCAGGAGGCAGCTCCACTCTGTCTAAGAAGAGAGCGCCTCCTCCACCTCCCGGACACAAGCGCACCCACTCAGACCCCCCCAGCCCCGTACTGCAGGGCCCGCAGAGCAAAGGTGCGTCCAGGTGGCAACACCTCAGTTTTGTGATTCCAGAAACAAAAGTTTTTGGTCAAAACCTCTGAAAAATTCTTGTAATTTTGTTGTTTTGTTGCTCATAGTGGTGGTGGTGTTGGTGTAAAATGGGTGGGTAGGAATTCTCAGCCTGACCTCAAATGGCCATTACATAATAAAGTGATATTCTGAATAATTGATTTAGGGATCTTGTTCTTGAGTGTGTTGATAATCAAAGACCGAGAGCTTTCTGGGAGGATGCCTGACATATCAAACACCCCAAAAATATGAATACAACTAGCACTTAATGTTACATTTTCTTCAGTATTTTCTCTTTCCTCACCCCACAATGAGAGTTAAAGTGGTTTTTCTTAGTAATTAGCTTATGGCAGCTTTCTTTTTGTTTTGTGATTCTGAGCTTTGCGATTTAATAATTATCATTCATTTTGTTTGTGTTGTTGCATTGTTTTAAATTAAAATATCATATTAAATTGTTTAAAGTTAAAATGTGTAATGTGTTCTATTAGCTTCACCTAACAGAAAAACTCAAATTAAAATAGTGATTAAAATTAGTTAATTATTACGATTAGATAAAATATCAATTTAAGAATTTGTCAAAATTATAACATTTGTTTTATCAACATCAATTCTTTTTTAAAAAGTCTTGGGACACCAAAAGTCTACTGTATTTGTGAAAAGTGCCAATTTTCAAATTTTCAAACCAACTGGTTTCCCCAAACACTCTTTCATTGGTTGGATAAACAAATAGTTGGCCCCAAACTCATCCCATTGGTTGAGGTAATTGGGCTGGTGAAGATCTAATAGTGCCACAGCTTTGATTTATTTGATTTATTTTTTCAGAGAAATCAACCTTCTTTTAGTTGTCTTGGCATATTAAAGTTTAATAAATTGCCTTTGTCTTTGTTTACTCACTCTCATGTCATTCCAAACCCAAAAGACTTTCGTTCACCTTTAAAGTACAAAATGAAGATATTTTAAATGAAATCTGAGAGATACTGGTCCCTCCATTAACAGGGATCGTAAAGAGATGGTAAATCTAATCCATATGAATTGAGCGGTTTAGTCCAAATTTTCTGAAGAGACACGATCGCTTTATATGATGAACAAAACTTTCTCTTTATGAACATTTTGAAGTGTTAAAGTGGCAGTTGCGTGGACTGTCAATGGAGGGACCCGGAATCTCTCAGATTTTATTTAAAATCTCTTCATTTGTTTAGAAGATGAACAAAAGTCTTACGAGTTTGTAATGACATGAGGGTGAGTAAATTACAGAATTTTCATTTTTGGGTGAACTAAGCTGCGATTTGAGAAAATATTTTAACATCAAAAAAATGTCTTGGTGACATCAATGAGGATTCCTGGGACATAAAAACAAAGAGTGTAAGACATGGCCAAAGCTCTTAATGAAATACAGGGACTTCAAAACCGCTTTAAACCTCTTCCCCCTTTTTATTTTGAACCTCATAGGAAGTGAGTCTACACCTCCTTCTGCGAATCGGACATCCCCGGCCAATAAGTTTGAGGGAATTCAGCAGCAGCAAAGGTGTTGCACCACACTGACATTCAGACATTGAATAGTCCTGTATTGCACAAAAAAAAAAAACATTTGTGCATTTTACAGTATGTGTAATAGATCTTAACTGTAAACAAAAAATTTAGACCATTACAATTTTCATGTTATCTTCATAAATCATGAAGGTTTTTTTTTCTAGTCTGTTATAGAGAAATTAATCACAGGACCTTTTTGATTTCAGCACTACTTCTATGAACACAAAAGCAGCATTTGGCCCAAGAGTTCTTCCCAAACTACCTCAAAAAGGTAGATTTAACATGGCATTAAATACAATGGATTTACTTCAATTTTTTACCTTTATGTTGACCTGCCCATGTCTTACTCTTTCAGTGGCACTACGAAAGATTGACACAATCCACCTCCCCTCAATGGACAAGTCTGGTCCCGATGTGCTGCAGAAACCCCCACATGCCCAGGACACGCCTCCCACCAGAGCTTCAGATACAATAACCAGACCCACTGAGCCTCCACCTAAAATCCCACAACCCGCAGAACGCTCCCAGCCCCTGGAGATGCCACAGAAACCTCACATCTCAGACCTTCCCCCTAAACCGCAACTGTCTGATCTTCCCCCGAAACCACAATTGTCGGATTTACCCCCAAAACCTCAGCTTTCTGACCTGCCCCCGAAACCACAGCTTAAGGATCTTCCCCCTAAGCCGCAGCTCTCTGACCTCCCATCCAAGCCTACGATGTCTCCAACAGCTGAGACCACACAGAGGCAAACGACACTGGAGGAAACCAGCCCGAAGCCCCAGCTGACGGAGGTGCAGTCATCCAGTCAGCAGGAGGAGCTCTCTCCCAGACAGGCCAGTGAAGACACTAATGGTGCGCCTGCAGGAGCTGTGGAGATGCCTGTCCCGATGCCACGGAAAATAAACACAGTAGTGAGTGAAAGATATTTTAGAGAGTGTTATATATGTACAGTGGACCCAAAAAGTGCACAAATAATTGTTTTCCTCATTTCATGACCTATATCTATTGTTTTATCGTTTTAAACCTAACAAAAAAAAAAGGGCAAAATATTTAGCTTAAAAAGTGCTCTTTAAAAGGCATTAGTTTATTTATTATTTTATTAATAATAAAAATACACTTATTTAATTTTATTTTTTTTAAATACTCTACCAATCAAAAAAGTTGAATCACATTATATTGATCAAAAGTGACCGTAAAGAGTCCAGACTTTTATAATGTTACAGAAGATTTCTATTGCAAAGAAATGCTGTTCTTTTGAACTTTCTACTCTCTAAAATCATAGTTTCCACAAAAATATTAAGCAGCACAACTGTTTTCAACACTGATAATAATATTAAAAAAATTCTTGAACACCAAATCAGCATATTAGGTGGATTTTTGGAGGATAATGTGACACTGAAGACTGGAGTAATGATGCTGAAAATTTTAAAATAGATTTTAAAATACATCAAAATAGAAAACAGTTGTTTTAAATTGTCACATTATTTCACAATATCACTGTGTATACTGTAATGTATGTTTAATCAAATAAATGTAGCCTTGGTGAGCATAAGAGACTTCTTTCAAAAACATTAAAGGGGTCATGAACTGGCTTTTTAATTTTTTTTATATTGTTGTCTGAGGTCAACTTATGACGTTCGCTTGGTTTTTACATTCAAAAACATCAAAATGAATAAGTAATAGGCTATTTTCTACCCTAGTTTTGAGCCTAGTTCAAAAACGCTCGGTTTTTATGGGCGTCTCGCATTGAAGACTTGGAAGTAAACGCCCACTGCTGTGAGTGGATAACAGTTTTGCATATTATAATGAGTTTCGTGTAATGCGCGAATCGGTGGGCGGGGCTAAACCGTCCGTGTTGAAGTAGGCGTTGATCTTCTTCTGCGGGGGTGGTGTTTTATCCTCTTTGTCGTCATAGTTCCCCACTTTGAAAAACGAGTCGTTTGCTGAGCCTGGTGTCAATAAAAGCTTTTATTGGACTAACAAGGACGTTTTCAGTTCTGAAACTTACAGGATATTCTTATAATATGATGACCTCTTAGATGTCAAAAGCTCAAGGAAAATTTGATTTCTCAGTTCATCACCCCTTTAACAAAATCTTGCATCCAACTCCAAACTTTTGGACAGTAGTTTATATTGGAAAATATCAACAGGTGTAACACTAAAATAACTGAGGATCATCTCTTTGCAGGCAAAGAGCAAAATAAGGCGCGTGAAAACCATCTACGATTGCCAAGCAGATAATGATGATGAGTTGACTTTTGTGGAGGGGGAGGTTATAATTGTTACAGGAGAGGAAGACCAGGAGTGGTGGGTAAGTAAATCTGTGCCGTGAGCTTGCTACTAGTATTGTTAATGCAGTTTTAGGGCATAATGTCACATTCATCAACCTGCCTTTTTTACAGATTGGGCACATAGAGGGGCAGCCTGAAAGGAAAGGGGCCTTCCCAATGTCCTTTGTGCACATTCTGTCAGACTGACAGTGTATAAGCGGCGGCCGAGAGGCTTTCTAACTAGCACAAGCTCCGCTCTCTCTCATTCTCTCTAGCCTCACACTGGACTGTGGGCATTGCCTCTGTACATAGCTGCTGAAACCCAAACGGTCTCCAAACAAACGTAACATGAAGAATCAAACCCATGCTCCCTTAATCCTCAAGGGGGAAATGTGTAAACTATGTGTTGTTCATAAACTGTGTTATCCTGCCTACCAGTATTATCGTAGCCATGGCAGCCCAGCATGCCAAACTGGGTTTGCAGTAGCTATACATGGAAATCTAGCACTTAACATGTATGCTGTAACTTTGTGTATGTGTACACATATAGAAATTATGTAAGTCCATTTAAAGTGTGTCTTTGTACATACATATGCACAGATGTAAGTGTATATTTATGTACGTATGTATAATGTACAAGTGTGCAAATGTATGTTAACCCTGCTTGCTTATGGAGCCAGAGTGACTCTAGACATTTTAGTGTACTGTTTTAAAAGAAAAAAAGATCATCTCTTAAATTTTTGGATGGCATAAGTGATAAGTGAGAATACAATAACATACCAGTGTTTAAATTCCCAGCATAGTGGCATGCTGGTCAGGGATCAAAACCAAAATGTAAAGGTTTAAACATCTCATCTGCTATACATAGACGATCAAAATTGGCATTCATTACGTTTGCATCACTCACAAAAAAAAAAGAAGAAGCCCTTGAACAGCCCTTGAAAATTGCTGGTGTAATGTTACCACTTTATACCCATACTCTCTCCATGCCGGTATGTTCAAATGGTGGCTGTAGCCAAGAACGTCACTACATATAACCAGTTATAATTTAAGAATAAATCGCTGAAAAGCTCATATCGATCAAATATGTCAGTGTCTATGGTGGTTACGGCTATGGTCGCATCTGTGGGAACGCTTCATTTCTTCCCCATTGTTGTTTAACGCCAAATCTGACAAAACTAATGCCTCAGCTCTGGGAAAGTGTCCTTTTTAATATTGTTTTATTAGATCATACAATAACCTACCTTATCCATCTGGTCTCATGCATAAATTATGAATCTTCTCTCATACATGGATATGACTGGTCAAACGTTGTTGGCTTTGTATAAAAATGGACATATGTTGAGCAGAACACAATCTGTTATAGGTTGCTTAGAGTGAGTTTTATTGTTTGCTTACAGTGACTGTGGAATGTGGTTTGTTTTGTTCATTTAAGTTGAATTAAACTGCAAGGGGACCCGGCAGTGAGTGACTGACTCGGTATGACTCAGAATGAACTAAAGCTGCCTCTTTCTCGTTACCCTATCAGGGAGACCAGCATTCACTCTTGGTTTTTAACTCTTGTTGTATTAATGATAGAAGATGTATTAATGAATGCCACCTGTACTATATTTGATGATGATAGTATTTGACATTTATAGGGCTAAAGTGTTTCAGCATGGAGAGGAATGGACCCTTCAAGTGTAGTTTATTATGGGTTTTGTTCCTCTGTTTTAGGTCATGTTACATTAAAATAATTTTAACTAAAGGATAAAAAACAAGAATTCAGCACAAAGAACATCTCTGCTCAATGAACAAGACAAAACGACTCTGAGATTGTGGTATAAAGTTGCCGATGCACCGTTCCCGGACTGTTTTGTTTAGACCCCTATGCTGAGCCCACTGTTGGACAATGTCTGTCTGTTTAGATGTTCAATCCAGCACAACTCCATATGATGGATTCTTGTGTTTGCTAATATTGTAGCATACTGAAGTCTGGAAACAGTCAAAAGGACAACGTCACATCTACAGTACGTGAATAAACTGGATTCAGTCCTAATGTTACATTTAGGATGAATTTTGCCACTCTTCCTTTTTTTGTGTCTGTTTGCTGCACTGTAAGTTCAGTCAGAAAGAAAATCAAACTTGGCTATCAAGTCTTCAAATAAAGTCTTTAAGTTGAAACCATGTAGTCTCAATGTTGTTGTTTTTTTTTAATTAAAACTGGGTTATTTTATATGCTTTTTCCTCTGAACTTGGAAGTGGTAATTTTTTTTTTTTTTTTTAATTACCTCTTTCCATGCTGAAAATCAGGCTATTGTAGATCGGGATACGGTCTAATAATGTATTAATTGTTTTTACTCACTTTGTGTGTGTGTATCTTTAAAAATGACCGATACCATAACACACAACTTTACCCCGTTTGTGACAATACAATGCAAAAGAACTAGTGTTTTGTCGTTTCGCTCGCGCTGGTAGACTATGAGTGCCTCAGACTCAAGAGTATAAAATAATAAAACGTAAGTGAAAGCAAAATCTTCCAAACTACATTTCGAACGCAACAGGCATAACACAACTAGTCTGCTTCCTTCCTCTCTCGAAATCAATTCCTTTTATAGATGTAGGCAGAGCCTCTTCAGCGCTCCCATGGTCGAGTCGAGCTCAACCTGCGCGTCAAACGCAACACTTCTGATTGGCCAATCCGGAAAATGTAGACACACGCCACATCTTCACAATGATCCGCTGAGCAGGGTGTTCTTCAGCGTTTCCCTATATTTACTTTTCACTGAATTGACTGGAAATTGAGGTAAGAATCATGGATTAAGATGCATTACCTTTCCACTATGCAACCTGACACCAGGCGCGAGAGAACGTGTGTTTCCTTCAGCGCTCAGGTGAGATGAGAGGCTACAAAAGACAACCTGAGTGTAGGCTACAAATCACTCAAACTAAACTCAAAGAAAGATCAATCATACTTTAAATTCAAGTTTAAAGATTTTAAATAAATCATATCAAGCTTTTACATTGCTTTATAAAGTCTGTTGGGAAACAAAGCGTATGATCACTTTTCTTTTCATTTCACTTGACTTGACGTGTATTTGTTGTAATGGACGGTAATAATTACAGATATGGCTTTAAATTGTGTTCCTGTATTATGTTTTACGTGTATTGTGCGTATTTGTCTGCTGCTGAGCAGAAAAAGAGTGAATTTCATGATAAAAACCGAGATTATTCTTGTGAACAAAAGCAATGGTGCGAGTTTTCAGACTTCCTCTGTGTTCAAATAGATCATGCCACTTCCTGATTTTGTTTATTCAAAACACGCATTTCAACGCACAGTAAGTTCCTACATTTTCACTGTCATAGAGGCACAGGTTCAAATCTAGATTATTCGATGTACGAGATAACCATTTATTTTGCAATTGTTCATGGCTGTTTATTGAAACAATTGTTAGTCCTTGTAACATTTAATAATAAAAATGTAATATGACAATTTCGCGGTTCATTCAAAGTATAGGCTATAACCAATAAAAAAGGGTTCCCACTCTTTTAGGCCAATAAATTCCCATAACTTAACCTTTCTAGATATTTGTGATTTGACCATTTTAGATATTTGTGATTGACCATTTTGTTAAACCTTTCATTGAAGCAAGCACGTTTTACTCTAAGCAAGCTCTACAGAATAGAAATATCTAGCTGATGTAATAATTTAGTAGATAGACCAATAATTGTTTTAAACCCCCTTTCTCTTTACAGGTACATGTTCACATAGGTAATTTATCTATTTCATGTATCGTTTGCATAAAATAATAACGTTTTTTTTTTTGTGGGAGACATAGTAATTTATGCTTAACCACTATTTAGAGGTTAAGCATACATTTATTTGTATTCATTACTCGTTATTATTGTGTCACAAGCAAAGATTATTAAAATGCATTTCTGGATATTGGTCATCAGACACTAAACATAATAATTAGTGTAGGGATGCACCAATATAAAAAAAAAATCGGCGATACAATAACCGCTAATTTGTGCAATGCAATTAAATGGCAGATAAATCAAAATCCACATTTGTATAAAATTGTTGAGAGCCTGATTACAAAAACAAACGTCTTACTATTAAAAGCCATGTCCCAAGCACACTGCACATATTGTTCTCAGATCACTAATGTTATGTAGCCTATGACAGACTTGCTCTGCACATGTTACACTTAACTGTATTTTTCTTTTTTGAAGTGATTCTAATCATATTTTAAGCAATTCAAAACCATCATGGTGAACAGTGCGCATCGATGCGTCTCAGCTGAAGGAAATAATTCATTATTTATCGGCTTTAATATATCGGCCAAATTTTCTTATCGGGCCGATAACAATAACATTAAAAAGGAAGATATACTATCGGCCAATACCGATATGGTGCCCTATATATCGTGCATCTCTAAATTAGTGTATTTAAAAAAATAAAATAAAAATAGTGGACATTCACTTTATTTTAGAGCAGAGCATTACTAGAAACAATATATATTAACTATAAAAATGTATCATAGGGACCCTTAATAAATCCACAGAAACTACTTTTTGCATATAAGCAAATTCTTTCTTGTTTGTTTGTTGTTCATGTATGAATTCATTAGCTCATTTGTTCAATGTCATTGTCCTCCTCCGCAGGAAGTGTTTGTGATGATGTGCAAGGCCACAGGTTTTAATTAAGAACATGAACTAAATACTGACACAGCAGCAATGGACCAAATTCCAGAGCAGTGGTTGGCATTAAAACACCAAGACGTGCAGATGTCCAGACTAGGTTATGGCAGATATTACTTAGTCTTAACTGAAAGCAATTTGGACTGGCAAATCTTAAAATATGTCACTGCCCATTGTTTTGTCTCAAGATGCACACCAGTAATGTTTTTTTTGTAAGGCACGTTTATAAAAGCTGCTTAAATGCCCTAATTGAACTAAGGCCTAACCCTGGCTTAGTCTAAGCACTATCTGTGAAACCGAGCCATTATGTAAAAGGGGAAAAGATCAAAAACGTGTTTGTTCATTGAAATTATTACCTAAATGGACTCGGATATATTGATATCAGCTTAAACAGCAGTGTTGCCACCTGCACAGCTCTAATCACGGTAAGATGCTGGTCAATCGCATCTGCTCTCTGCAAACAGCTACTTTGTGATGTCTGTTGTGCTGTGAGATGTCATGCTGTGATTGTGCTTCTGGAATTAGCGGAGCATTCTTGTACTGCAGGGTTTGTGTAGTGGCACTTTACATGCCCTTAAGGCATGTGTGACTAACTGAAGCAGTACGCCCTTCACAAGGAAGCCTTGTCTAGCAAGGTTTTTTAACTACATTTTGATGCAGTGTCGAAAATCAGTCTATTGTTTCTTTATCTTTTTTTTGTATTGGAGTACATGCAGAAACTGTATGTTAAATAATGTGTTGAGTGTTTGCATATTTCCATGTTTACAGTGAGCTTATACTATCTTGTGAGCTTATACTAACTAGCATTCAGTTTGAGAAGTATTGTGCAGGAGGTTACCCTTTTTTAATGTTGGTTCAATTTCCTGGTTATGCTTTGTGGTCGGACAGGCTCGCTTTATCTGTCTTCACAGTCAAACAAATCAACAGAAAGTTGACACCTTTTTGTGGTCGGACTCTCTTTAAAAATGCTTCAGCACATTTTTGCACTGGACTGTAATGGCTGCACCAAATACATTCACATGGCCAGCTTGTTTTCTTTGCTGTCTTAAGATGAGAAAAAGCTAGACGTAAATATAGCTTGTTCTTTTCAGTTTCAAGTATTATTTGGAATTGCAACTTTATTTCTCACAGAATCACATTTGAAATAGTATCCGTTCCCTCAGGTCATGCTGTGGTAAAAGTGCAAAAATGACACTTGTCTAAGAACAACAGCATGTGCATTTTTCAACAGAACATG